GTAAACCTTGCTTTTAAAGGTTCATCTATCACTGGAAGTAACACTAACACTTTATCTCCGTTAGCAGAATTGTGAAATTTTGATTTCTTGTCTGCTTCCTGTTTCATCATTTGCTGTGCTACTTTTAAATGCTGTGCAGCCAATGCCCTACTCTATTTAATCATTCCCGAGAATTTGACACACAGTCCAAATATGTGGTCTCTGAATTCTGACTCACCAATTTCTCCTTAATTAATTTCAGTGGTCCTCATGCCCAAAAACTAATTCAAATTAGTTTCAATTAGTTTGGTGAATTCATTTGATGCAGCCCTTATTGCAAAAAGTACAAACAGAATTCTTTTATCCCAATTGTCTGGGTAGGCTTGACTAAAAGCCCTTAACGTTGTCTTTAAAGTTTGATGCTACCTTTATAATGCTCTCTGTGATTCTGGATGCTCAGTGGATTTGAATTGTTTTATTCCTAAGCTATCCATAACTTTGCTGAATAATTATGTTGTAAAATTTGATCCTTCTGATCGTATCTCTGTGGGTTGTCCATATCTCGTGAAAAATTTAAGTAACTCTTCTACAATCCTTTTAGCTGTGATATTGCGTAATGGAATAGCCTCTGGAAATCTTGTGGACACATCCATTATTGTCAAAAAATACTGATTCCTACTTTTTGTTTTAGGTAGAGGTCCTATGCAATCAATTAAGACCCTTGTGAAAGGTTCCTCAAATGCAGGAATGCTGGTTTTATTACTGTCTGAGGTTTTCCAATTATCTGACACATATGACATGTCTGGCAAAATTCAACTACATCCTTACGCAGTCCAGATCAGTAAAAATATATTTTGGCTTGAGTTTTTCTTACCCCTAAATAACCGCGTACTAGTAATTCATGTGCTACCTGCAACACCTTCTTTCTAAAAACCCACTGGTAATGCAACTTGATGAACGCCTGCCCATTTCTTATCTGTCTGAATATGTGACAGTCTCCATTTCTCGTCAAGACATTATTTTTAAGATAATAACATTCGGGAATACACTAAGATTCTTCCTTATTGCTTTTTGATACAATTGCTTCAGTTTTTCATCTTTCTGTTGTAACTCAGTTAATTTCTCTGAATTAAAAATATCCACTTTGTCCTCCTCGTGTTCTCATTTTTTCTCAACCATTCAATTAGAAATGGTCTCTAATAATTCTGCTTCAACTTCCTTATCTGTATTCTCTGATTTCTCCTCCTATTTCAACTGGTGGTTTTGTGATCTTGTCACCACACAGGCAGGAAAAGTCCTGGGATATATTTCCTGTAATACCTCAGTTGCCTGATTTTTGACTGGCTTTCTAACCACAGTAGGCAGCACTCGTACCTGTGATCCAGCTATATCATTACCAAGGACAAATTGTATTCCTGGAGCCGAGAGTTTATCCAGTACTCCTATCACCACTTCTCCACTTTTCAGTGCACATTCCAACCTCACTCTATGCAATGGAGCACTTCTCGTCTCACCACAATTCCACATATTAGCACTTTTCCTGGCAATAGTCCTTCTGAATTACATATCTCCTCATCTCTCAATATCAAAGATTGACATGATCCCATATCTCTTAATACTATAACTATTTTACCTGCTGCTCCTGGCCTATGCGAGTAAATCTTACCTTCACAAGTAAATGGTTTAAGATCTGGAACTTCCTTCTCAACCAACCTCTGACCAGGTTGTACATTCTGGTGCAGCTTTTTAGCCCCCACTATGCATTCCTTTACCACTTCAACAAAACTCACCAGCTTATTCTGTTTTCCTATATCCGTCTTCCCAGTGCTTTTCCTAAACCACCAACACCGTGACTTCATGTGGCCTACGTTGTTGCAGTGAAAACACCTGAGCTTTTTAACTTCCCTTTCTCCTTCATGGGTTTCCTTCTTACCCAGTGGTAAGCTATCTTTATTATCTTCACTGAGATCTACTTTTCCCTTAGCACTTGAGGATTTGTATTTTCCCCAATTTCTATCCCTCACGTATTGAAATTGATGTTGGAAGCCAAACTTTGAATTATGAACCAACTCATAATCATCAGCCATTTCAGCTGCTAATCTTGCAGTTTTAACTCTCTGCTCTTCCACATGAGTTCTCACTACCTCAGGAAGTGAATCCTTGAACTCCTCCAAAATAATTGTCTCTCTAAGAGCATCATATGTTTGATGTATTTTTAATACCCTTATCCACTTATCAAAATTACTTTGTTTGATCCTTTCAAACTCAATGTACACTTGACCAAGGTCCCTCCTTAGATTCCTGAAGCATTGTCTGTAGGCTTTCTGGCACAAGCTCATATGCACTTAAGATGGCTTTTTCTCACCTCTTCATACTCCCCAGATACCTTCTCTGACAGCGATGCAAATACCTCACTAGCTCTACCTACCAACTTTGCTTGAATCAACATAACTCACATGGTCACTGGCCACTTCATTTGTTTAGCCACTTTCTCAAATGAGGTGAAAAAGGCTTCGACATCCTTCTCGTCGAATTTAGGCAATGTTTGGATATATTTAAACAGATCCCCACCAGGCCTTTGGCTACAATGAATTTGCTCATCCTCACTATCCTCCTTACTAAGCCTACCTCCTACCTTCACTTCCATCCTTTTAAGTCAACTTTCTTGTCTAATTGCCAACTTCTGAAGTTCAAACTCTCTCTCTTTCTCCTTTTCTTCTAGTAGGGCCTTCCTCTCCTTTTTCTTTTTGTTTTGCCAAGGCGATTCTTTCTTTTTCTGTTTCCTGTGTTTTTAACCGTAATGCAAACTTTTTAGTCACTTTTCATGCTCAAGCTGCTTCATCTGCAATTGAATTCTGGCCATTTCCAAATATTCTGATGGCATTTCATGTAAATTTAAATGTCAAGCTGTTGCAGTAATCACCTCTCCTTTTTTCACAGACAAAGGTACCCCCAACTCTAGCTTAGAGATAGTAAGAACTGCCGATGCTAGAGTCTGAGATAACACAGTGTGGAGCTGACGTTTCGGGTCAGCTTTCCTGCTCCTCTGATGCTGCTTGGCCTGCTGTGTACCTCCAGCTCCACACTGTGTTATCCCACCACTAGCTTGTCTGCCAATTCCAACAGCTTTTTCATGCTCACATTTTGTAAAGCCACCGAAGTCACTTCTTCCACCCCGAGAAAACTCTTCGTGACCAAAAGAGCCATTACTACACTGTTTAAACCAATTGAATTGAACACCCGACACAAAAGACACCAACACATACCACTCGCCGCCTTTGAGACTGACAGCCCTAAACCCAAATTGGAATTATAGAATGATCCTGGACAAGCCCCCAATCTGTTATCGACCAGGCCAGACCCCCTCAAAAATTTTAAGAAGATAGCCTAGACCCTAACTTTTTCTTATTTTAAAGGTAGATATGAAGGGGGTGTTCCAGGTGTGATGCATCCGATCAAATCATTTGTCTTTAAGCAAAACACAATTTATGTAAACACTCCAGTTAAAACACGAACAAAAGAAAGCGGAATTTAGACTAACTTAACTATTGGAAAACTTAACTGAATACTCAATACAGCAAATTAACTAATTAACTGCTCCAGTATAGTTACATACCATAAACACATCCCTTGGCAAAAGGTAAATTCAAACACAGATTTTTAAGGCAGGATTCCAATCCAGGACAGAACAACATCTGGAGAGATTTTGGAGAAAGTCAGTTAGGAATCATTTACGGAAGCTTGCAACCCTCTTGAACTCAAAACATCTTGTGACTGCTACAGCTAAAAAAATTGGGAAAAACCTGAACTGGGAGAACTGGCCACTCCCCTTCCATTGTTAAACTGGTACTCCCTCGACTCTTTGACACGTCTGCCTTTGCAACCTCTCTTCAAAAAAGCCAAGGACAAAGTAACCTTTTTAAAGTAACAGCATCGTCACAAATAGGATCTGGAGATCGAACTTCCCATAGCCTACCCATTCTGATGTCAGGGACCGATTTGGACAACACCTCACAGCACCTAAGTCATAAAGTTCAATTTCAGTAAAGAACTTGAACTCAATAACATTGCTTTCACAACTTACAAGTATGAAACCAACTTGTGAAATGCTCCCTTTCTGCTCCAATTGTGACATCAGCCTCTCTATCCTTTGCTTTTACTTTTATGGAGATTGTCTGCATGTGAAATGTGTCTGGACGAAGTAGAAGAATTTGCCTTGCAAGTTGAGATCCTGACACATCATCACATCTGAAGGAGACTGCTCTCTTGTTTTGTATGGAAATACCAATGTGTTTCTGAAATCAAAGGAAATATCAAGATACTGCAAATCTAAAGCAAAAAGAAACAATACTTTCCTCTCAGTTGTGTACAAAAATTCCCAATTAGGGGAATTATTGAGACCAAGATGTTCCCGTTCTAGCTCTCATACTGTCTGTTTAACAAGAGGTTTAACCATAACAAAATCCTGTAGATCAACAGAATACCACTGATGCACTAACGAGTGAGATCTAAACCAGATCCAGAGAAGTAGAGCCAGATATGGTTTCACTTTTGCCATATATCTCAAAAGAATTTCAGACAGCTTCAGCTCATGGACGCAACATAGATATCAGTAGACTACACCGCAACTAGAAGGCCCAAAATCTAACACCCTTCAGGGCTGGAGACATATGGATTTGTTGACCCTCAGGTGAAACTTTACTCCAAAGACTTCTGCAGATCTTCTGGGCTTCCTCCCAGAAATAGGGTGGAATCTGTCAGTAAGGAATCTTTAGTTAATTGTATGGCTCATTAGGTCACAATACCCAATGTCATCATCATCTTGGTGAGAGTAGAAACAAGTTTCCTCCTCTGTATATGCCAATATCCATCTTTGAAATCAAGTTCGAGATGTCTACTCCAGTCAATCCACTGACCATGACAGCATCAGATTTAAGGACACTTATGGTTATTCACTTTTTTTTCCCAGGAGCATCTTGCTGAGGGGTGTGAGCTGATTGACATCTGTTTCCTCATCCAGGTCTCTACTTTGTAGGGGTTGGACATCCCTCATCATAGCTACAATAGGTCTCCCTTTGTGTTCTCAGAAATAATACAAGAGTTTCAAGCACATGGACTTCCTGAATATAATGAAGCAGGGATTCTTTATTCGACTGGCATCAAGTCTTAACACATTTCAAGGGAAATTAAGGTTACATGAGGAAAACAGTGCATTTACACGGTATTAAGCCAGTAATTCCCATTTGGCTGAGGAATTCTTATGCTTGTCTCTTCCCCTCTCCACGAGGTCTCTTCTCAACACAGACACCATGACTACCAGAAAATGTCTGGTTGAGTTCCACTGCTCAGTAGCCTCACTCACCATCACCACCTGCTGCTGGACGCCCCACTATATCCCTTGTATATATCTCAACAAAAGTAGACAGAAGAAAACTACTGATGTCTGATCAGAGACCAGCGACATGGAAGATTGCTCTGGGAATTGTGCCAATTTTGAAGACATCTCAATCAAAGACAGTGCTTAAGCCAACATCAAGGAACTGTTCATAATTAATTATTCAACAAGGTTGGCAGCATCTGTGGAGACAAAAACAGAGTTCAGGTCAGTGAACTGAATCAGTAACCCTCGCAAAGCTGTTTGTGATTCAGGGATAAATATTAATTTTCATAGAATCCGTACAGTGTGGAAACAGGCCCTTCGGCCCAAAAAGTCCACACCGACCCTAGGAGCATCCCACCTTGACCTATCCCCCTATAACCCACCTAAGCTGCACATCCCTGAACACTACGGGCAATTTAGCATGGCCAATCCACCTCGCCTGCATGTCTTTGGACTGTGGGAGGAAACTGGAACACCTGGAGGAAACCCATGCAGACACGGGGAGCATGTGCAAACTCCACACAGACAGTCACCCGAGGGTGGAATTGAACCCGGGTCCCTGGTGCTGTGAGGCAGCAGTACTAACCACCATGCTGCCTTTTTTTGTAGGCTTTTTTTTAAAAAGGACAGTGCAGTGATGGCAATGAGGTCAGCCAGATAGACCTCAATGAATATGAGTTCCCTGATTGGGGCTGTTAATCTGGTCTAATCAGGGAGTCCTGGCTGACAGGAGCGTCAGAGGTTCTGTTCACTCTGAGAGCTGGCTCTGAGGGAGCTGGATCATTATCAAGGACTGTCCATGTGTAAATTAAGGGTGACTTGAATACCGGCCTCTGTGGAGTTATTTAGTAGTGACAAGAGATAAAAAATATACTACTGAAGAAATTTGCTCGCAACACTCATCTTTAAGTTGGGGTAAGCAATTCTAGTATCATGCCATTATTTGGGAAGTTTGACTCATTCAATCCTGCTGTCAAAGGCTGGGCGCAGTATGTGGAAAGAATTCATTACTTTTTCCAGGCAAATGACACTGGAACAGATGTAAAACAACGAGTAATTTTCCTGACAGCTTGTGGCCCGCAGGTCTTTTGGTTATTAGGAGCCTTACATTTCTTGAAGCACCAGATACCAAAACCTTTCAAGAGTTGACGGATTTATTTGAGGAATATTATGATCCCAAGCCTCCTCTAATTCTGAGACACTATTGGATTTACTCAGGAGTTTGAGAACCTGGGGAAATGAAATTGGGTGTTTTGATAAGGTTAAGATGACAGGTAGAGGCAAGTGACTTTGGTTTAACCCTTAATGAGATGCTGAGACACCATTTGGTATGTGGGATTGATGATGTAACCATGCAAAAACACTTACTAGTTAAAGCCCAACTGGACTTCAAACAGGCACTACAACTGGGATTTGAAAATGCAGCAAGTGGAACGTATAGTCTACAGGGTATGTCGATGGAAGTGGACACTCTCACCAGGCTGACTGAACTTGGTGGACACACTTCAGTGAAATCAATTGCATAGCCTCACTCAGGACATATTCTGAATAGAGGGACTCTCGATCAGCCCACAGCAAAATCCTAAAACAAAACTAAGTCTCTGCCAAATGGTTAACATTTTCTTCAGAATCCAGACCAGCAAGCCGTTGTAGTTGCCTTCCATATATGGGCTCGAGACCGACCTGAACTGAGTAAGAGAACTCATAGGCCGGTATCCAGGAGACTGCACGCCCTGGAAAGTCCACCTACATTTGACTTAGAACAGTTGAATTGCTTAGCGACATCCAAATCAGAACCAATCAAAATAAACATCTAATTAAATGGTCGCCTGATTCTAATGGAGGTTGATACTTGGCTGTATCAGTGATGGCAGAACCAGACTTGAACAAAATTTGTTATGAACTCCAATGCTTGAGTTTGCAAAAGACCTCGGCTAGACTGAGAACCTCTACCAGGGAAACTTTGCAGATTAAGGGTACAACTTCAGTTCTGGCCTTGTTTGAGAAACAGTTGGTTTAGTTACCACAGATTGTAGTAAAAGGCTTGGGCCCAAGTCTGATGAGGTGAAATTGGTTGTGAAGGATTCACCTCGATTGGCTCAACATTTTTCAGTTAGGTAATGGCTGCCTGAGTGAAGTCCTAATTAAATGTCTGGCACTTTTTTCAGGAAGGTCTAGGGACTATCAAAGGTGCCATGGCCACTTTGTATATTGACCAGGAAGTAATTCCATGATTCTGCAAAGTCTGCCCAGTGCCATTTGCCTTACAGGCAAAAGTAGGGACAGAAATCAGAAGGCTGAAAAGTGAAAGAATCGTCAAACCAATATAGTCCGTGGAATGGGCAGTACCGGTATTACTGATTGTGAAGACCGAAGGGTCAGTTCACCTTTATGGGCATTTTAAGTAAGATGCTTAAGCATGTTGGAAATCAATCATTGCAGCAATAGGACATCAGTGTAGTAGTCCATTGGGTAGATTCCTAGGCTCAACCACCTTCAGCTTCATCAATGACTTTCCTTCCCTATAATGTTATAATTGGCAATGTTCACTGATGATTGTACAATGTTCGGCAACATTCATAACTCCACAGATGCTGAAGCAGTCTGTATCCATATGCAACAAGACCTGGATAATATTCAGATTTGGACTGACAAGGGCAAGTAACATTCACACTACACGGGATATATCTGATCAATTTTCCACATTGTCAATGAGATGCCAATGTTTTGGCAATGTTGTAACACTGGTTCAAATTTTCGAGTTTCTGTATCATCGGAGATTGGGAGGTTTGCATCCAGAACCCACAGAAGTCCTGACATGCATGCATGTGTGGAAACTGCCTGAAAAGTTTAAATTTCTAATGGACGAATTTCCGCTTCCCAGTGCTCTTGGTGAAGATTTCCCATGCTAAGCTCCATGTCAGAGACTTGGGTTAGTTATGCAGGATTTACTTATCCTTGAAATATTCAATCATAGAATCATAGAATCCCTACAGTGTGGAAACAGGCCATTCGGCCCAACAAGTCCACACCACCCCTCCGAAAAGCATCCCACTCAGACTCAGCCCCCTACCCTTTCCCATATCTAATCCACTTAACATACACCCCAGGACACTTTGGGCAATTTAACATGGCTAATCCACCTAATCTGCACATCTTTGGACTGTGAGAGGAAACCGGAGCACCCGGAGGAAACCCACGCAGACACAGGGAGAATGTGCAAGCTCCACACAGACAGTCACGCAAGGGTGGAATTGAACCCGGGTCCCTGATGCTGTGAGGCAGCAGTGCTAACTAGTGAGCCACCATGCCGCCCTTAGATATTAAATATTCTGGTGGTTGATATTTGGTGTAACTCTGACTTGCAAGTGTAACAGAACTGAGAGGCACAACCATTGCACCACTCTGCTCTGACCATTCCACTACTTCCCTGACCCACCTCAGCTAACCTTCCAACCAGCTGACTAACCTGCATCTATTTATCTGTTCACTAATCTACTCACTTACTGAATGACTTAGATCTTGACAAGCTTATCTGAACATGGCAGCTGATGTCACAAAATGTGTATCCTGTCTTCCTGCATCTTTACTTCTGCCTGACAATCTTCTGCAATGATGTTTGCACTGATGCTTCAACTGGGAACAGAAGTCGAAATGTCACAGTCGAAGTAAACAGCAAGATCTGGGCTATTACTATTAGTCAAGTTCTAAGGATATGGAATGGGCTATTTAGAACTAAAAATGGGAGAAATCTCTTCACCCAGAGAGTGGTGAGCCTGTGGAATTCTCTACCATAGAAAATGGTTGAGGCCAAAACATTGAATACTTTCAAGAAGGAGATAGATATAGTTCTTGGGGCTAAAGGGATCAAAGGGTATGGGAGAAAGGAGGAACAGGGGACTGAAACAAAAACAGAAAATGCTGGAGAAACTCAGCAGGTTTGACAATGTCTGCAGAGATAGAAAAGTAGACTTAATGTTTCAACTCAGAACTGAAAGTAGCTGGGAACAGATGGTAATTATTCTGATGACAGGGTTGGGGTTGGGAAGGAGTGAACAGAATATATAGAGATGATGCCAAGAAAGAAAGGAGAGGCAGATAAAGGGTTTGCTGATGATGAGTTGAGAGGGAGGTAAATGCTGAGTAAGGTGCTGTCAAAAAGTGTAAGTGTTTGAAAATGATTTAGCTGTGCTGGGAGCAACCCATACAAAAGAGGACCTGGGGGTAGAGGCTGGGTAATGAATATGGAGGATGGTCTTCACATTCTGAAATTGTTAAATTCAATCTTGAATTTGAATGGGAACAAGGTGGTGTGTTGAAGTGGCAGACAACTGGTTAATTTTTACAGAGTATAGGTGTTCTGCAAAGCAGTCACCCAGTCTTGTTTTATAACAGAGTGCTGAGTTGGATTATCAGTCATGATCATATAAATGGCTCAATGGGCTGAATATCCTCCTCCTGCTCCTTTTGTTACATTTTTAAAAATTCTCTAAAGCTAGTACCAGCTCCTTTGTCCTTTGAGTAACTCTGTGTAGTAGTTGACGGCTTAAATCTGCTGGGTTTTTTTTCGCTTTTCCTCAATAGCTAACCTGGTGGAAGAAAGTGCTTGACAGTGACCATGTGTGAGAAGTTGCTGGAAGCAAATGACTCCTGATATCTAGATTATGCTGCTCAATCTACTCGTCTTCTGCAATGTGGGTCAACCCGGCCTTATCTGTTTCTTAGCACTAAAGAAGTATTCAACACTACCATGTAGTTGGTGATGTGTTGACATCAAGAAACACGGCAAAACTATGGCTATCAGAGGTCAAAGTAATATTTTTGAAGGATCTTTGTGAGAGCTTCTTCAGGACTACTTCTTGATCTTCAAGGGGTATCTTTTGGCTTCCAGTGCTCCTTTCTCATTCTCACTAACTCCATTATTTGGTGATGCAGTCATATAGTAACATTACTTTCTGTCGTTGTGTTGACTTTTTTGAGATTCTCTTCATTCAGTTGATAAGATGGCACATTTACTGAAGAATGGTGCACACTTGTGTTATGAAATCTTTTTAATGTGAAATCTAAAAGTAATATGCTTTCATTAACTATTGGAAATAAATCCCCCATTCCCAATTTCCAAAATGAAAATGTAAACTAACTTGGCATAAGGTAAATTGTGGAAATGTCTCATATTTACAAACCTTTTAAAAATTCA